ATTGTTTTTCAATTAAGTTTATTTCTTTACCAGATTTATTAGTAATGTTTTACAGCAATAGCCTTATGTACATATCCAATTCTGTGCCATATAACATCACTAAAAAATAAACTGATATCCAAATTTGATATTTACATTGTTTTCTTAATTTAAAGTCATTTCATATTTTAAGTCAACTAAAAATGCTCACTAAAACAATGATCTTACTTTTCAATTAAATTATAAAAGACAACTTAATAACCTACTGCTGTTATTTTTTTCTTCAGCTTCATCGGTAGTTTACAGTGATCTATTAGTAGTTACTCGGCTCTATCATGAGACCTTTAAATATATGAATACCCTATACCTTAGAAGAAGAGTTTCAAGATCAACTAATGTAAAGTACAAAGTTTGTGTACAAGAATATTATAATATAATATAATTAATTTACAAATAATTACTTTTTAAATTAACTACATGATCTCCTCCATACTTTAGAGATACCATTTTACCCCTCTCCCATTAACTATTTCAGTTTTCTAAAAAAACATTGCAAATTGGACAACTAATAGCTTAATAACAAACAAGTACAGTCAATCAAACTACCTAAAAGGCAATTTACAACATAGATAGAAAAAAATAATAACATACAAAGAATACAACTTGAGAACATAAGTAAACCGAAATTAAAACACAAATGAAAAAATTAAGAACATAGATAAAAGAATATCTAGAACATAAAATAAAAAATTGAAAAATAAAAAACATAGGAATACTTTATTACATTGGAAAAACAATTTTACAACATAACTAGACAAAATTTAACATATAAGAAAAATAAAAATAAAATAAAAAATTGATTGCCTTTAATACATTAAATTCTAACAACATAAACACACTAATAAGATTAATTAACATGTAACAAAATCACGTATACATTATTTTCTAACAAAAAACAAACGGTAATGAGGTACAACACACAAAGATAAAGGTTTCATAACTTTACGTTGATATTATTTATTTGAATAGTAATTCAAACATAATTTAAATTACATCTATCCCATATATTAACTTTGAATGCAACAATCTTCTCTTAGATTACATTTAACACTTAAAATTTTAACGACATGCACACAATTTGCAAACATAATTACCGTGTAACGGAAACACCGAATACAGTACTCAACAACAATAATCAAGTATAGATATAATTCCTGTCTTTTCAAATAGCATAATGACATTTGACATCACTTTTCAGTATCATATATTTGCATTAAATTTAACATTTAACACTTAAAATTTTAACGACGTGCATACAATGTGCAAACATAATTAATTATATTATATTAAAAGTAATATACTAACTTTGAATGCATAATTAATTATATTATCATTAAAAGTAGTTATTTATAAATTAATTATATTATATTATATTATAATATCATTAGACCTTTAAGTATATGAATACCCCATTTACGAACTTTGAATGCAATAATCTTCTCTTAGATTATATGTAACACTTGAAATTTTAACGACATGCACACAATACGCAAACATAATTACCATGTAACAGAAACATCGAATACAATATTCACTAATAATAATCGCCGCCATTGGAGTGGTGCGCGCGAAGCGCGTGACGCCACAACTAGTAACAAAACAAAATTCCAATTCTTTCGTACTCTTCTTATTTTCTCTGCTATGGAACGTTATGCGCTTGCTTATGAACAACGTAGACGAGTTCTTAGAGGCATCTAGCATAGGAATTGACAATGTATGTAACATAGTCATGTGGCCGTGTAGAAGTGTAGAGTGTTATGTTCCACCATGTAAAAGTGTAAAGGGATTATATTAAATTTTACACGTGTCTATTTTACGTGCTCTAGTCTAAGGAACTAGACTAGACTAAACAATCTAGATAATGGTTGGTATAAGTATAGATTAGTGTGATTTACTAAAATTCTTCACCCTAGTTATGAAAGATCAAAATTTGGAAGGAGAAGTAAAAAGAATAATGTCACCTATGACTATTTAAGTCCCAACTTTTCATTGTGATTGTGTGGATAACACTTAGACAATCATGCATATATTTACCTTTCTTAAGTTGAATGATACACTAATTTACCAAACTTGCAATTTTCTAATCCCCAAATTTCTAAATCGTTCCTTACTATGTGGGAATTACTTCTATTAAAGTATTGAGTATGGAAAAGGAAATTAGAAAAGATTGGTTAGTAGTCCTGAGAAATTAGCTAGCTAAAGATTTGTGGTAAACCTTAACAGATTGATAACTGAAGGTCTAAAGTAGTATGGCTGTATGAGTAATAAACTTTATAATAATGAGTAATAGATGGAATAATATTTGATCTTTACATGTATAAAGATCACAACAAACTAATTATGGATCCATCTAGTTGGCCTAGCAATGCTAGTTAGCTAATTTAGAAACTAGGCAAACAAAAGCGTATAAAATATATCCATAAGTAACTGAATATATTTGGGAATAATTTGTTTGAAATTATGACAGTACAATATTATGGATTAGAGCTAGTCCAAGAAGCTAAGGGAATAATTTGTTAAAATTATGACAGTACAATATTATGGATTAGAGCTAGTCCAAGAAGCTAAGGGAATAATTTGTTAAAATTATGACAGTACAATATTATGGATTAGAGCTAGTCCAAGAAGCTAAGGGAATAATTTGTTAAAATTATGACAGTACAATATTATGGATTAGAGCTAGTCCAAGAAGCTAAGGGAATAATTTGTTAAAATTATGACAGTACAATATTATGGATTAGAGCTAGTCCAAGAAGCTAAGGGAATAATTTGTTAAAATTATGACAGATACAGTACAATATTATGGATTAGAGCTAGTCCAAGAAGCTAAGGAATAATTTGTTTAAATTATGACAGTACAATATTATGGATTAGAGCTAGTCCAAAAGCTAAGGGAATAATTTGTTAAAATTATGACAGTACAATATTATGGATTAGAGCTAGTCCAAGAAGCTAAGGGAATTTTGTTAAAATTATGACAGTACAATATTATGGATTAGAGCTAGTCCAAGAAGCTAAGGGAATAATTTGTTAAAATTATGACAGTACAATATTATGGATTAGAGCTAGTCCAAGAAGCTAAGGGAATAATTTGTTAAAATTATGACAGTACAATATTATGGATTAGAGCTAGTCCAAGAAGCTAAGGGAATAATTTGTTAAAATTATGACAGTACAATAAAAAAAAAAAAAAAAAAAAAAAAATATATGGATTAGAGCTAGTCCAAGAAGCTAAGGGAATAATTTGTTAAAATTATGACAGTACAATATTATGGATTAGAGCTAGTCCAAGAAGCTAAGGGAATAATTTGTTAAAATTATGACAGTACAATATTATGGATTAGAGCTAGTCCAAGAAGCTAAGGGAATAATTTGTTAAAATTATGACAGTACAATATTATGGATTAGAGCTAGTCCAAGAAGCTAAGGGAATAATTTGTTAAAATTATGACAGTACAATATTATGGATTAGAGCTAGTCCAAGAAGCTAAGGGAATAATTTGTTAAAATTATGACAGTACAATATTATGGATTAGAGCTAGTCCAAGAAGCTAAGGGAATAATTTGTTAAAATTATGACAGTACAATATTATGGATTAGAGCTAGTCCAAGAAGCTAAGGGAATAATTTGTTAAAATTATGACAGTACAATATTATGGATTAGAGCTAGTCCAAGAAGCTAAGGGAATAATTTGTTAAATTATGACAGTACAATATTATGGATTAGAGCTAGTCCAAGAAGCTAAGGGAATAATTTGTTAAATTATGACAGTACAATATTATGGATTAGAGCTAGTCCAAGAAGCTAAGGAATAATTTGTTAAAATTATGACAGTACAATATTATGGATTAGAGCTAGTCCAAGAAGCTAAGGGAATAATTTGTTAAAATTATGACAGTACAATATTATGGATTAGAGCTAGTCCAAGAAGCTAAGGGAATAATTTGTTAAAATTATGACAGTACAATATTATGGATTAGAGCTAGTCCAAGAAGCTAAGGGAATAATTTGTTTAAATTATGACAGTACAATATTATGGATTAGAGCTAGTCCAAGAAGCTAAGGGAATAATTTGTTAAAATTATGACAGTACAATATTATGGATTAGAGCTAGTCCAAGAAGCTAAGGGAATAATTTGTTAAAATTATGACAGTACAATATTATGGATTAGAGCTAGTCCAAGAAGCTAAGGGAATAATTTGTTTAAAATTATGACAGTACAATATTATGGATTAGAGCTAGTCCAAGAAGCTAAGGGAATAATTTGTTTAAATTATGACAGTACAATATTATGGATTAGAGCTAGTCCAAGAAGCTAAGGGAATAATTTGTTTAAATTATGACAGTACAATATTATGGATTAGAGCTAGTCCAAGAAGCTAAGGGAATAATTTGTTTAAATTATGACAGTACAATATTATGGATTAGAGCTAGTCCAAGAAGCTAAGGGAATAATTTGTTTAAATTATGACAGTACAATATTATGGATTAGAGCTAGTCCAAGAAGCTAAGGGAATAATTTGTTTAAAATTATGACAGTACAATATTATGGATTAGAGCTAGTCCAAGAAGCTAAGGGAATAATTTGTTAAAATTATGACAGTACAATATTATGGATTAGAGCTAGTCCAAGAAGCTAAGGGAATAATTTGTTAAAATTATGACAGTACAATATTATGGATTAGAGCTAGTCCAAGAAGCTAAGGGAATAATTTGTTAAAATTATGACAGTACAATATTATGGATTAGAGCTAGTCCAAGAAGCTAAGGGAATAATTTGTTAAAATTATGAAAAAATTATGAAAATAAGAAAAAATAATTTGTTTAAATTATGACAGTACAATATTATGGATTAGAGCTAGTCCAGGAAGCTAAGGGAATAATTTGTTTAAATTTATGACAGTACGATGGATTAGAGCTAGTCCAAGAAGGGGAGCATATTGGTAGCGTAGATGTGGTTAAGGGATCCATATTCTTCTTTTGGTTGTCTACGCTAATTTTCTTTTGGTAGCTAGATGTATGACTAAGATTAAGAAAATAAACTAAATTGAACCTAAAGCGGATGGTGATGGTGGTAGTGACTACGGAGGCTGTTGAATCGGAATAGTCTTTCAGTGGTGATGGATGGGCAGTGATAATGGTGGTATTATGCTGAAAGTAGTGGAGTTGTGGTGGTGGTGATTGTGGTGCAGTTCATGTGGGGTGCAGTTCAAGGTTGAGTACCTTGAGTTAAATTTCGGTGACATGGCTGTTGCTAAGGCATTGCATATGGGGTTTTTAATCATATTGGCCTAAGAGACGGTAGCCCAAGTTCATTAGTAAGTCCATTTTTAATAATTAGAAGAAAAATGGAATATAAAATATCTTTAATCATAAAAGCAATACACAGTCTTTCAAAAAAATAAATAAAATTAAAAGAATACACAACATTTCATATAATTCCAAAGTTCCAATACCATACCCTAGTTTTTTTTTTTTTTTTTTTTTTTTTTTTTTGTGAAATAAAATACCAAGGTCTCTCCTAGTAATGTTTCATGTTTGTTTTTCTTTGTCTTTAAACTTTGGATGACAAGAACCAAGTCTAATATAATTAGTAATCTGTCTGGCTAATTAGATGTGACAAGTAAATTTTAAGTTGATAATTTAATTTTTTCTATGCTACATATCTTTGTCATAGGGAATTTAGTGTTGGGCATAACTTTGATTAGTTGTTGGATAATGTTAAGGGCATCCAATTATGTCTATAAATATATCATAGTACGATTTATTGATTTGGAGTGTCTTGTAGTATTATATTGTAAGAAAACAAAGACAGGATGAATTTTGAGTTAGGATTATCAGTAGTAGTAATCATATTGTCAATGTTAGGATTAGTAATATGGTGGTTGAATGAGATATGGCATATGAGGCCGGTGAAGTTAAGGTGTTCAACATTTAACACCAAAATACCACCTGGTCATTTGGGTCTTCCTTTATTTGGAGAGACCTTGTCATTTCTTTGGTTCTTCAACAAAGCTCGTCGTCCTGATGATTTTATCAACTCCAAGAAATCCATGTAATTCATCTTTATTCTATGTTTATATATGTACAATGTTATAAGAGTCTGCTACTTCAAAGTTACTACTCCCTCCGTTTTTAAATACTTGCTGCACTTTTCTATGCCAGAGTTTTAGGAGAAATTGGAGAAAGTAATAAAATATAGAGGGAGTAAGGTTAGTGGAAGGTAAATTGGAAGAGAGAGAATCTAAAGATAATGAAATATAATTTTATTGGGTCCTACTAGTTGAGAGAAATGAATTAAATATTGTAAAAACTTTCCAAATAAGGAAATGGAGCAAGCATTTAAAAACGGCCGAAAATGAAAAGTGGAGCAAGTATTTAAAAACGTAAGGAGTACTTATATAATTCATGTCGATGTTGGCGGTGCAGTGTTGTACTACCTCTGTCTTACACAGTTACGTACTTACATGTTTATATAAATGCCTTTAATCAAATGGTTACGATTTAATTTGTTTTCAGGTACGGGGATAATGTGGGAGTTTATATAATATACGATTTAATCTGTCTTCCGGATTCTCTTAACCGATTTCTACTCCAAGTCCAATGTTGTTTTGTTGAAACCCTTGAATTATGGTCCGAAAAGCCCAAAGTCACAGCTATTCGTCAAATGCAAAAGGTAAACTAATCTTTCTCAATTATACTTCCCCATCTCACAAAGGGATAGTTATCAATGAAGGATAAGGAAGGGAGAGAGTTAAGCGAGGAAGATGTGTTAAGTTACTGTTGTGAGCACTATCAACGTTGGTCATGCTTCCATTGCTGTTTTGGCAACATATGGTCTCTATTTTTTAGCCAAATCACCCCCATGTTCTTCACTAGCTTATGGTATAATTGCAATAATTTTGATACAGAGTACTTATTTGTGACTCCTTTTATTTCTATTTGAAATCTTTATACTATATATATGAATGCACACGATTGCTTATAAATATAAACTACAAGCATAATTAATCATGACATATTCATTGAACGTGTAAAGAAAACAAGGATATGACACAAGAGAAGAAAGGTGGGCACATAACATATGAAGATATAAAGAACGAAGCTCAAGTATACAAACAACTGAACAAGGTTATATCAACTTTCCCCTTTCTCACCAATGTTTATATGCTTTTAAAGTTGTATTACAAAAATAAATTTCACTTAAATACTTTATTTTCATTCAAAACACATTATAACATATATGATTGATTGCAGGTGATAGATGAAACAATTAGATTGGCAAATCTTACCAGCTTTGTTTTCTGGAAAGCTACTAATGATATTGAAATTAAAGGTATGGAATTAAGCAACATGCAACATTGAATTGTTTCTTTGTCCAATTCTTTCTTACAAGAATAATTTCAATTTTCTCTAGTACGTGTTCGTAGTAAAATTTGCGACCAAAAAATAAAAAAAAAACCGTTGTAATTAAAATAATTTTAATCTTAAAATTTTAATCATCTCAAAATAAGCTCACTGTTATAAAATAAAGAGAATAGGAGAGTGATTGGGGAGAGAATAAATCAGTATATTATTCTATTAAGTAGAGGATATATATATACATATATAATAGTTAGGGTTTTCTTAGGAAACACTAAACTCTAGACCTAGAATATTCCAAAGAGTACAAGAATATAATGGGTCCACCAATATTTCATAACACTCCCCTTTGGATGTCCATTATCGAAGGTCGTGTCTCGCTAAAACCTTAATAGGAAAAACCCTGTAGGATAAAAACCTAATTAAGGAAAAAGAGTACATCATTCTTCGTAATATGCTTACGATTTTGCATCATTAAAAACTTTACCAGGAAAACCCAATATGGGACAAAACCATGGTTAAGGGAAAAAGAGTGCAGCGCGTATTTTCTCCCCATGATGAATGTATAGCTTGAGATCTTCTAATGCTATGAATCCAATATAGTTGAGTATCTTCTCACATGACGCAGAATAATATCATTCCTTTATTTTCGATCCTCCCAAATCTTCAAATCTTCACGCGAACAAGTGAGTCTTCATATCACCATACCTATTATAATAATACATGTATTTGTCCACATTTCATTCGAATCGTTTAAAGTTGCCTTAATTATACTTATGCCTTCTTCTAGAGGTCGTAAATAATAGAAATCGATTATCATTAATTATTTGATCAAACATTCCTTAATATTATATGGCAACACATGATATTATTAATGTTGTTTTTCAATCTTGTATGAAATAATAATATAACACATGTAATTATATACATTGATCATGGTTCTTCTGGACCATAAGAAAACAGTCTCATGCATAAGTATCCCATTGATATTCTTTAGAAGTTTCATAAATGACATGATAATTCTCATGCAAATACAAATAGTAATTCTCGATCTCACTAACTCTCATATGTTCATCAAACTTCAGGTTAAGATGTCAATAATGTAGTCAAATAGACCAAAACTTTGATAATAATTACAATATTCAAAATATAAAATTTATAGGGTTGAATATATAAATACATCGTACATAAGTTCTTCAGAAACTCTTCTTACATGATTCATAACATGCTATTAAATCGATATCATAAATAATTTCATTACAACTATAAGCCCATTGGAATATCACAACTATAAGCCCATTGGAATATAAATATTTCTTTGTAATTTTCCATCAAACTTACAAATACGCCTTACTATACTTTGAATGAACATTCACATATAACACAATTATTGCATAGAAACTAGTGCATGCAATATGAGATATAGAAATCATGATAAGATGTTATGCAAAATATATACAATGAGTAACGCACCTAACAACTTCATATGCATGCAATAAGTTATCCATTAACCTATAACTCACACATGCACATGAACATAAGACTTAAAGTAATGCAAAACACTATACAATGTGGATTTAAAAATCCATATTCTATTGGACTTATGGTCCATGATAAACTTTTGATAATTATGATTATGTCGACATTAAAATGGACATATATTTTAGATCCCTTATTCACTAGTCCATTCTATCATGCATATGCGTATTATTTATCGGTTCCATCATATAATCATATAAATCCTCAAACTACAATTTTAATTTGCATGCTAGTTTGACAATGATATCTTAATACATTTTTCATTGGTACCATCATAATTTTTCTTACATCATAGGCCATCTCTTATAATAATTCAGATATCTATACCACTTTAGGGGTATTTCATACACTATGGTATTTATATACTATTACATTATTCAAAGTGTTAGCTGCACTATCTTGCCACATATCATATCTTTATTTTTGACATATCTTTATTTTGGAACTGATCATACAACCTACACTTCAGGTGTAGTGATTCAAGTATAATTGACAAGATTTTATCTCAATGTATACACATAATTTAATATGACCAAAATGTATCTTCAACGCTATGCAACATGAGTCATAACTGAATACAAATCAAATCATAAATGTGCAACATATTTTGATAGTATATAGACAAAAGTTGGCATATAACTTTTCAAACTACCATTATAGGGATCATCAATTTATTTATTTTTATTTTTCCAACTTTTGATAATTCTTCTCCCCCTAAGTTGGTAAAATATCTCATTTATAGGGGCGTCTAATTATATATTAACTTAGTATACGAATTTGCATTAAAATTCATTTCATTGGGAAGATCACAATCAAAATTTATCTCTAAGAAGATTTGTATTAAACAAGTTTTATTTCTTTTGGAGAACAATTTCAATGAAGAATCATTTCTTCATTAACTTTACATTGCATATGTATTTATTATTACATCTTTCATAATATGTTCTCTTCTGGAGATCAATGTCAATGGGACATGTGTTGTGCAGTTGTACGTTTTTCCTTCTTCTCCTATTTCTTATGTGTGACATATAATAACCCCAATTAAAAGAATAGGTATACTAGCGTAAATCACTTGCTTGTAATTCTACTAGGTGGTGATCTACTGGATATTTGAAGACTTAAATAGTGTATTTGGTGATCACCTAACACTTGACAGTAATATATATAAGTTATTCTGGTGAACTTCTGATCACCTATTACTCTTTCGTATATATAAAAAATAAAACCTATTAACTCTTAAAATTTTCATCAACACAAATTGTTATGGCTCAATCTCAATGTTATGTCTTGCCATTCAATTCATTTCATATATCTAACATTGAGAGAGTGCCAGCACATTATCAAATGAAACTTCAGGTTTTCATAACGTGTAATTATTAAACCCGGATGGCGTAATTTAATTATCACATCCAATCGTTTATCTAAATTTAATTTATCATCAGCTTTCCAACACTAGTGATCACTTTATTAAATTTACTTTATGCATGGCCATGAATATGATGTGATATTAGAATACCAAAATGATGGTGTTTAAATGAATTATAATTTTGTTTTTCATTTTTGCAGAGAAAGGTCTGGAAATGGTTCTTCCAGAGAAGACTCTGGTTAAGTCAGCCGCTGAGATCAGAAAGGAACAATTAGAGAAAAAGAAGGACCAACTGGCGGCCAAAGACGATGGGGTAAGCACCGGCTGATCTCTGTACCGTCTGTATGATTTGTAGCTCATGATTGTACTAACTGGCTGATTTGCATTCTTTTGCAGACGGGAAGCAAGAACGTCCCTCGGTCTCTAAGGTAGATGCTAAAGAGGCCGGGAGAGGAGCCCGCCCAACCTTCTTCCCAAAGGCGGAGGGTCGCGTCTGAACCTGCCCCTGCCTCTGCCGGAAGATAGCCGGCTCCTGAGAGGCCTACTTCAGCAGGCAAGAGTCTGTGAGATCTGGGCCTAGGCTCAGGGCCGGCTGAGGCCAGAGCTGGGGAGCCTGAGGTTCCCTCTAGCGGGGTGCTTACTGTTGCATCCGGCTCTAATGCGGCTGGGGGTGGTGTCACCCCTCAGCCTGAAAACCAAGGTACTCCTCTCACCTTTGACCCCCCTGGCCGCTTGGGCCTGTTCGAGTCAAGTCCCAAGCTACCCAGTTAGGGGATTCTTCATGCAGCCGGCAAAATATAAGCGTTGCATATGCTCAGTACTTAACATATAAATCTCATGATGCAAATGCCTCTTCTCGTTGGCCAGATCTGCAAAACTACGCCAAGAGAATGCTGAGGACTTTCACCCGATCCGAAAAGGAGGCGGTACCGGGTATCAACCAGGTCAACATTGACCGCATTAACTCACTTCTGGCTGAGGTAATTTATTGGCTGGGGAGCTTTTGTGCAATTTTGTTCATTGTCGGTTGTAATATAACTAAGAAGCTAACTTCTTTCCGGCTGACTTTGCAGGTGATGTTGAAGGTTGATGGAATGAAGGTCCCCTTGCGGAAAAAACAAAAGGAGGTAAGGGATTCCCTGAGACGGGTAGCCGAACTAATAGATGTTTCGCAATATAAATCCCTTATGCTTGAAATCCAAACTAAATGTCGGGAGATGAAACAGGAGGAGTTGATCAAGGAGCTCACGGCTGCTGCTGATAGAGCCAACAAAAAGGCAGCCGATCGTGAACTCGAAGTCAACAAACTCAAGGCTGACGTCAAAGCCTTGGGGGAGGCTGACAAGGAGAACAACGAGCTGAAGGCTGAGGTCACCCGGCTGAAGAATGAGCTGGCCCAGACTCAGATGGAGCACAAGGACCAGTTGGCGGCTGAGCAGGACCAGCTGGTTACTGAGAACGAGCGCGACTGCGAAGAGCGCATGAAGATGGCATGGTCTATGATCCATCCGGACACCGACTATGCCTTCTTCGACTTGAGGTACAAATACGCTACTGAAGTATTTGACGCTCAGGTTCTCGGGACAGAGAAGCCGACGCCCTTTGAAGAATGGGCCGACATCGAGGAGGAGGAGCACGCGGAAGAGATAGTGCCGGGTGAGGCTGGAGAAGCCCAAACCCAGAAAACTCAAGAAGCCCCTCCTGCCGGTCAGGGCCAGCCGTCACAACAGCAATAGCAGCAACAACAATAGCTTAACATTTTTTATTCCTGCCTTCATCCGGCCTGCGTGCCGCGTACTTTCTGTATCTTCTGCCGGAAAAGGGTCCGACTGACATTTTAATTATATATATATGCCGACTGGGTCGGTTTTGCTTTGATACTATTTGCTTCAATTCTTTGCAATTTTTTCCTTGATTGCCTTGAATGACGTATATTTTTTTTCTGTTGGGATTTGAATTGATACATGCGGTATGCCGGTTTGAATTGATACATGCGGTATGCCGGATGCATTGGCTCTTCCTGCCCCTGGACGGTTGTTTGCTTATAGTTAATCCAACTCTAAGCAGGCAGCCGTCCATACAAGCATCTGGACTAATAAATAGGCGGTGCTTGACCGTTTTTAAACAGAATTATTCTTAAGTTGGATTTGCTGGCGGTGCCAGCTAAACCCAACCTAGATTACTCGTTTAACCGGCTGCGGATTACCCTTTGGGTATCCGGCAGTGCCGTTGATTGGTATACAGACGGCCTGTGGCCGGACGTATGTATTTTAACCAATTGCGGATTAAATGACAAGGTTTTGACCTTTGTTCATGGAATTTGTAGCCGGTTGTAGTGCTTTTTGGCAAAAGCCGGCTACAGACCAAGATTTAATTCACCGTCTGTATTGCTTTGAGGCAATGACTGGTTGTATCTTGGTTTCGATAGATCATTCGAACGACCATGAGTTATCTTTAACCTAACCGGTTAAAACCATTTGAGTTATGACCTGCAGAACAATGTACCACCCGGAAGGGAGATGTTCTCTTCGACGAATTCACCCAAATGGGCGTCGCCGGATGCCTGCTCATGTCGGAACAAGCGGTTTATAATGTGTTGGCATTGGCCTTATGAATAGCTAAGATAATTAGCCTTCTACTCAATTAGAGAAAATGGTTGCCCGGTTGTGCATTGCACAGATGGGACTTGGTAGTTGCCCGGTTGTGCATTGCACAGATGGGACTTTATACAAAAGATAATAAAAATAAAGTACTCTTTCATTAATATACTATATTTACAAAAAATTTACAAGTCCTTAGAAGTAGTACTTTTTCAAGTTATCTACATTCCAGGTTCTGGCTAGCTGCCTGCCGTCTGGAGTTTCCAGGCAGTAGGTGTCGCCTCTAACTTCTTCAAAAATCCGGTAGGGACCCTCTTAATTAGGGGTTAGCTTCCCTTGCTCATTTGCCCTATCGGTTGCCTCCATTTTTTGTAACACAAAGTCTCCCACTTTGAGGGGCCGTTTGTGTACTCTTTTGTTATAGGCTCTCGTCATTCTCAGACGGTATATCTCATGACGCAAGGTGGCATTGCCCCTGCGCTCTGGGAGTGAATCCAATGCTAGACGCATGGCCTCCCAATTTGCCTCTTCATCATAGAGCATGATTCGGAGTGTTGGCTCATAAAGTTCAATTAGCAGGACGACTTCAGTGCCGTATGTCATGAGAAATGGGGTTTCACCGGTTGCCCCTTTTTCAGTTGTTCTGATGGCCCATAGGACATGAGGCAACTCATGCGCCCATAGATTGCCATCCTTTTCAATTTTCTTCTTAATGTCGTCTGAGATGAGCTTGTTGAAGGCTTTAACTTGGTCGTTTGCTTGGGGGCGGCCAACTGATGCAAAGCAATGTGAGATCCCTTGATCTCCCAACCAGCTCTTGAGGGTAGGCGTTTCAAACTGAGGGCCATTGTCAAAGACCATAGACATAGGAACCCCAAACCGGGTGATGATGTTCCTCCAGATGAAGGAGATGACATCCTTTGTCTTAATGCCCTTGACCGCCTCTGCCTCAACCCATTTGGTGAAGTAATCTACAGCAACCAGGATGTACCTTCGCCCGCCTGTGGCAGGTGTATATGGACTTAAGATGTCCATGCCCCATTTTGCAAATGGAACTGGGTCGTAGATAGCCGTCAAGTCTGTGGCCGGACGGTGTATGAGCCGGCCAAATCTTTGGCACTTGTCACACTTTTTCACCATTTCCATGGCGTCTGCCTCAAGAGTGGGCTAAAAGTAGCCCTGCCGTATGACCCTTTTTGCTAGAGTTCTGCCGCCTATATGTGATGCACAAAAACCCGAGTGCAGATCCTCTAGAACCTCTCTTCCCCTTTAAGGTGTAACACACTTCAGCAACGGCTGGAGGTAACCCTCTTTGAAGAGCTCCCCCTTGTAGGTTTCAAAACTTGAGGCTCGTTTTTTCAACGCAGCCGCTTCTGAAGGGGCATCCGGCAAAGTGTCGTCTGCCAGATAATCCCAGTTGGCATCCATCCAGGTAGAGCTTCGGTCAAGAACTCCAATGGGATCATGCTCAATGCTTCTTTTTTCCATGACTTCCCAAAATACTGACCTAGGTGCATCACAAGTGGCGGATGATGCCAATTTGGACAGTGCATTCGCTTGATTGTTTTCTGACCTGGGCACCTGACTTAGATGAAATTCGTCAAGTGTGCCGGCCTCAACTTTGATCGCCTGCGGATACTTGATCATCGCCGGATGGGTGGCCTCATAGTCACCATGGCATTGGCTAACGATCAACTGAGAATCTGAGTAGGCGTCAACTTTTCTTGCCCCTGCCGCCTTACACATGCGGATATCGGCTAGCAGGGCCTCGTACTCTGCCTCATTATTTGAGGCTTGGAACTTGAACCGTATTGCGTATTTATATTTCTCCCATTCCGGAGACTTTCAAATTACGCCTGCAACACAGCCGTTCATAGTAGAGCTCCCGTCTACATATAACCTTCAAACCTGATCAACATTTTCCGGCTGAGCCGGCCTTGTCATTTCAACAATGAAGTCGGCGAACACCTAACCCTTCAATGCCTTTCTAGGTTCGAAGGAAATTTCCAGACTTTGCATTTCAATACCCCACTTGAGCATTCTACCGCATGACTCCAAGGTTTTCATTGGCCGCTTGAGGAGTTGATCTGTGTAGACCACCACCGGATGTGCTAAGAAGTATGGCTTCAACTTCTTGACCGCCATGAACAGAGCGAGGCTAAATTTTTCAACTAAGGGATACTGTAGCTCAGCATTTCAAAGAACATGGCTAATGAAATAGACCGGGAGCTGAATGCCATCTCTCTCAGCTAGGAGAACGACTCTGAGGGCATGATCTGAGACGGCCAAATACATATAAAGAACCTCTCCTGCTAGAGGGCTGACCAGTCGTGGAAAAGAGTGGAGGTGCTCCTTCAATTTCTGGAATGCCGCCTGAGCATCCTTCCCCCATTCAAATCTAGTCTTCTTCTTGATTGCCTGGAAGAAGTAGAGGCACTTATCACCAGACCGGCTGAGGAATCTCCCCAATGTCGCCAGACAACCGGTAAGTTTTTGGACTTCTTTGACAATGCCGGGTGACTTTATGTCAATTACCGCCTGTACCTTTTCCGGATTGGCCTCTATTCCCCTTTGATCAATCAAGAATCCGAGAAACTTCCCAGACTCAACACCAAAGACGCACTTTTTGGGATTAAGCATGACCTTATGCCGCCTGAGGGTGGTGAAGGTTTCTCGGAGGTCAGCAAGGTGATCCGTCTGGAGCTTAGATTTGACTATCATGTCATCAATGTACGCCTCTACATTCCTCCCAATCTGACTAATGAAGACCGTATTAATCATCCGTTGGAAGGTAGCAGGCGCATTCTTCAGCCCAAACGGCATCACCGTATAATAGAACAACCCTTGATCAGTGACGAATGTCGTCTTTTCTTGATCTTTTTTCCACAAGGGTATCTGATGGAAGCCTGAGTAGGCGTCCATGAAGCTCATTAAGGCATGACCGGCTGTAGAGTGGACTAGACTGTCGATCTTTGGAAGTGGATAGCTCTCCTTCGGACATGCCTTGTTCAAATCTGTGTAATCAACACACATCCGCCAGGTCCCATTCGGCCTTTTGACAAGGACGACATTGGCTACCCAATCCGGATAGTAGCATTACCGAATGAACCCGGCATCCAGTAGCTTCTTGACCTCGGTGGTTGCCGCCTGAGATCTTTCCTCACTGTGGTTCCTTTTCTTTTGCCTAACCGGCTTCTTTTTTTGATCCACGGCAAGTTTGTGGATAGCAAGATCTGGGCTGACGCTTGACATCTCTTCCACTTCAAAGGCAAAGATGTCTTTGAATTCCTTCAGCAGTTGGTGCAAGCCTGCACCCAACTTTGCAAAAGCAACCGTCCCCACTTTTACGGTTCGTTCCGGACGGCTGTCATCTAGAACAATATCAATATTATCACCAGCCGGCTGGGGACGGAGATCCTTTGATCGTTCCCCGATCAGTGATTGCTATTGCTTTTTTTTTTTACGACCACCAGGTGGTCCGCATTTTTCTTTTTGCCGGCTGCTTTGGGAGCAGGCGCGGCTTCCTTGAAGTCATCAAGGTCAATGGGCTCCTCGCCTTGGCCGGCCGCGGCCACAATAGGCTTAACGTCTGAGAGGTTACACTCCCAGACTTCTTCTGATCCCCGTTCAGGGAACCCAATGACCCGTCATCCCTCTCAAATTTGATCAGCATGAGGGATGGGATGATGACTGCCTTAGACTCGTTGAGGGTTGGACGGCCCAGAATCAGATTGTAGGCGGTCAATTCCTCAACCACCAAGAACTTGACGACCATGTTTCGTCCTTCCCCCTTCTCTCCTAGCCGGATGGGTAGGTCAATCCTCCCCACCGGATGCACTACTCCTCCCCCAAATCTGACTAGGAGGTGAGAAGCCTTGTGCATGCTGCTAGGCTTGTACTTGAGCTTTGCCAAACACTGGTAGCTGATCAGGTTAGACGAGCTCCCGGTATCGATGAGGATCCGGCCCACTCATTGGTTGGCATTCTTGCATTCGATGACAATTGGGTCATCATGAGGCCGCCTGACCTTTCCCCGATCCTTCTCAGAGACGAGGACCTCAGGGAAAGTGTCTTTCGACGCCAGACCCTCATCCACTGAGTTGACCAGCTTCCGGATGTTGTCCTTGGTACCCCGGATGGTAGGACCCCCACCCGCGAAACCGCCTGCTATGGTGAAGATGTGCTCTTCATTAGTGTTAGAGCTCATAGCCGGCTTTTTGGGCGGTTGTCCATTGTTTGCTTTGGGGTTACCCTTGGACTTCAACATATAGGACTTTA